TGTCCCTATCTACTAACTCCGCTATGCCGGTCCCAAGCCCGGGACCCCACTTCGGTGGGGGAGGAGGAGGGGTATCAGGGACTAGATGATTTAATTATCATCTTATGGGTTTGGCGCTCCCAGTACTCCTGAGCTGGGTTCGAGTAAACGCTGCTCGTATCCTAATACCGTAATCAACATGTGTGCTTCAGCGACCACTGTTGGGCGTGACAGTGGAACGTTGTACACTTGTTGACCGGGGGCTTGGCTTAATCGCCTGGTCGCGAGACGGGGGCCCTCTATATGGTCCTCCCCAATCCCAAGCTTGAGCCGTGTGGTGAGGGGATGCATGATTGAGGGGTTGTCAATCTTAAGCACGAATGCTGAGTTTACTGTATAAAATGTTTGAATTTACCTTCCCTCACTTAAGGGTGGTGCGTTAGTGGGGTGGTTGTTGGGCATGGACTGTCTTTCTATTCTATTCTATCGCTTTTCTTTCTTTCTTTCCTTTTATTTTCTTTCTTCTTCTTTTATCTATTCTTTCTATATTTCACTTTTTCCTTACTTCTTCTTCTCTCTTTTCTTATCTATTCTTTTACATTCTTTTCTTTCCTTTTCTTTTCTTTCCTTTTCCTTTTCTTTCCCTTTCTTTTCTCCCCGGTAGAGTGTTCTTGCCGCGACTTCGGTTTTGGTGTGGGTACTTGTCCGGGTTGTTCATGTTGGGCTTCTATTCTGTTAGCGATCCAACGCTGCCTGATGGGTGAGGGGTACGAACCAGATGATGAACAAATTTAAAATTGCCTCGGAAAAAAATTATTATTTAAAAAAACAAATTGATGTATGTGTGTGTGAGAGTGGTGATGAGTGTGAGTGTGGTGCAAAGGGTTGTGTGTCTGAGAATGCTTCGGGTGTGAGTGAGACTTCCGGTTCAACCGTGAACCGTGTGATTTCGCGTTCGCCAGTGAGAAAGCCTGAATTTGAGTTGGATGTGTCATCGGATGAATCTGTGATTGGTAGCAGAAAGCAATCGTCGAAGAAGAAGAAAAAGGAGAAGGCGGAGCGAAAGAGAAGGCGTGATTTAGAGAAGGAAAGAGTGCGTGCAGAAAAGGAACGTGAGAATGTGGAAAAAGAACGTGAGCGTGAATGTGCTGAAAAGGAAAGGTTGCGTATGGAGGAAGAAAAGAGAAGGAGTATGAATGAGATGAAGAAAAAAGAGAGTGAATGTGTGAAAGTGAATGCTGATGAAAGTATGGATGTTGATGAGCGTATAAATGTTGAAAGTGTTCTTTCGGAAGCTAGAACCATCGCGCGAGGAATTGGTGTTATCCTTAGGGATGATGCGAATGAAGTGGCGGTGGAGGTGACTGAAAGAGTAGAGAAGGAGGTAGCGAGACTAGAGGATTTGCTGATGAAAATGTCAATGGACAATGCAAGAATGCGTGGAAGGTTGATGGAGAGGGAAAGAATGAGTGAGTGTGTTGTTAAGGTGGCGGAGAGTGTGTCTGTTATGTGTGAAGTAGCTGAAAGGGTTAGCAAGAGTGTAGAGTCTATGAATGAAGTGTGTGAAAAGGTGAGAGAGTGTGAAATGAGTGGTGTTACGAAGAGGAGTGATGTTAAGCAGAGTTTTGCGGTGATTGTGAAAGGTGCGAATGAAGAGTTGACAACGAGAGAGGTGAAAAAGCGAATGAATGAAGCGATTGTTAATGATGTGAATGTGTGTGTGAAGAAGGTTAGACCTGCGAAGGGTGGAGGTGTGATTGTCGAGACAGCAACAGATCGGGACAGGGGGGTCCTTACGGCTTGCCCAAACTTTGGACAAGCTGGTCTCAGAGTCGAAAGACCAAGGACCATGGACCCGCGTGTCCTTGTCTATGACGTCCCGAACAGTATGTCGGAAGCAGAGTTGATGTTTAGTGTGTATGAAAAGAGTGTAAAAGATGTGATCAGTTTGAATGAATTCAAGAATCGGGCGCGAATAGTGAAGAGGCTTTGTAAAGAGGGTGCAGATTTGGCAAATGTGATTGTGGAAATGCCAGTAAAGTGTAGAGATAAAGTTGTGAGC